GGTTGGAACCAGAAGAGGGGCTTAATAATCCATATAGTGTGAATACTGATAATACAAAGTAGAGTTTGCCCACTTTCCTTCTAGACAATGTGCTTGTGTATTCTCATTAAGACATTGCTGGTAATAAAGAGAAAAACACTGTAAAATTTTTGGGGGTTATTTAATGAAATATTTTTTTCTAAGTAGGTCTGTCTTACAAATGGAGGCAGAAGGGATAGTCAGGTTATGCAAAAGAGTTAAACCGTAAGATCATTCTTGCCCATTAGTGATAAAATGCATGAATATAATTGAATAAGAGGTTATTTCTCCAAACCTGTTTATTAAAACCTGGACCAGAGGAGGAAAATGGCAGGAAAGTTTTTTCTGCTACTGAATGAGAATCATTCTAAATAACAGGTGCTCCCGCTGATTTAAAGGCTAAATTCTCCTCTCTGTTACTCACTGTACTGGTTCTTTCAGCTGTGATTTCTTACATGACTAAGGTTTCTTTTGACGTGGATAAGAGAAATTCTGAACTCCAAAAGACTGAGAGATAAAATATCTGTTAAGAAGACCTGAGAGAGAAATATCACTTTATAGATTTCTTAAATATTTTAAAACAATACATTCTTCTCAAGCTATGAACAGATGGACAATTTATGGTGAGATGGGCAAAGACAGTATCAACTCAGTGAATGCCAGATGCTTTACTGTAGCTGCGTACATTAGGTGGTTTTCACTTCAGCATAACAGCATGAATATGAACAGTTATTACAGAGTACCTGACACATGGGATGAGTCTGCATTTGACCTTGTTTTACCATAACTTACATGTTCATAACCAAAATAAATGAAAGAACTTTGGCAAAATTTCCATTACCTTCAGACAGTTACTGTGTCAGGGTAAATACACTTAAATTACTCCAGAGCTATTCAGAAATTTAAAAATTAGTCAGAAATTTGGTGAAATCATAATTAAATTCAGAACAAAACCAACTATCTGGAAAATCAAAGAGATCCTGTCTGCATGGTATCTAGAAAAGGAAACTATGTCTTAGTAAAAGTGTTTTCAATATATTAATAAAGTAATTTATTTATTCCATAAATTCCATTTATGGAACGGTTTAAATAGGCCTATGGAAACTTCCAGTATAGGAATTACTGCAGAAATTAAATAACTGCTGCCTAAGACCTACAGTATTGAAGGAAATAAATATGTAATTAAAAAGAAGAAAGCCATTGATTCATTTTCATCTTGCAGCTTGTTTACAGAATAATTGCTTATGATTCCATGTCTGGACTCATGTTATATTCCTTAATTAACAGGAAAATATAGAAATAGTAATATAATGAAATTTTCAGTCGAAAAAATTAGTTAAAAAATTCAGGGTTAGAAGGGACTCTGATACATTGAATTTACAAGGGGAAAACAGACAGCATGATGGCAAAGACAATTTAGTGTCAATAAATACAATGTAATATATAGTGGACGGAAAAAAAGAATAATTTATCTCTAAACTAACTGTGTCAATTCAGGAAAGGACCCAAGTAGTACTGCAGACAAGTCAGTGAAGAACTTTCTTCTATATATAAATGCATTAGGGCAAATGCATACAACATTGGAAAACTATGCATAAATCAAAAGTGCATCTTGCCTAGAGCGTTGTGTACAAAATCCGGACATGATAATGTGGCACTGACGTGGGTTAGGAAAAAACAGCAAAAGCCAAAGAGAAATAGGAAAGATTCAAGATTCCCTTTGTGATTAATTAGTATGGCCATGATAAGATAGAAGATCACAAATCTAAATCAAGGACTCTTTAGAAAAGACACAAAGGAACTGGATATCTTTATGAAAATGCAGTTTTCATAGCCCAAATTTTCACAATTAAGCATTGTAAATTTAGGAAGATATTTAAACTTCATGTGTCAGGATGGAACCAATTGGTTCTTATAAGAAAATAAAGGAAGAATTTATAGAAGAAATCACTTCTATGATGGTATTTAGACTAAATATCTGTTCCTAACCACTACTGGATCATAAAGCAACATGGAATAGACTATTGTTGAGAAGGAAACAGTGTTTTAAAGATTTTAATTGCTTTCAAGATGTCTTCAAGATTTCAGAAATGTTTGTGTTTGCTCAACAGCTGTGGAAAAAGTCCTTCAAAACTGTCACTTTATGGGATTAAAGGACTGATGGTGATCTATCTTCAAGTTTCTGGTACAAATCAAAAATAATAGAACCATATTAAACCTGAATTTATTTTTTTTCCTCCCAGAAAACACTTACTCACAGTTGCCATATATTTGTGACCTTTCCATCACTATAAATTTACCTTTATTTTCCCACACTACATGAAAAATTTGAACAAGGTCTACCATGGTTTGTAATGATTTTTTCACTCATTCCCAAAATCTAAAATACAATAATGTTCACTTCTGGTTTCTGGAATAGTTGTCAATCTGGATTTATGATCCCTGAAAATGGTATGTGTATTCTTGATAAATGTATTTTGCTTTGTATCATGTCTGTATTAACTGGAAGATCAGATTTGGATAGGTCTAGGAAAGACAGAATATGATTTAAGACTGCTAATGTAATTCTCTTTGAATAGCTTTGTGCGTACAAATTCCTAATTCAAGAACTAGGTGACAACTCTCATCAACACAGTGCAAAACAAGTTGACTTAAGAATTTGTCCTTTCTCCAAATAATCAAGGTAAAATAGTACACAGCCAAGGCCATCTCTCGTATCAGAGCATCAGATTTTCTAGTTCATCATTCTGGTTTATTTCATTCCCTTCCTTGCCCAGCTACGATATATTACTCAGCAGGTATTCTGGTTTTTTAACAGTTGTAAACCAAATTCTTTGGGGTAATCTATCCATCTTTTTGCTGCCTTTCAGATTCAAACACGTTGCTCAACTTCCAAAAGAGCAGTGTAAAGGACGGTGTCCATGCTCTTTTTTCATTTGTTCCTTGTCATTTTATGTTTGAGTAACAGGAGTAATGCTATTGGCAACAGTGGTCAGAATGAGTTCTCTTCTGTCTCTTAAGACTTGTAGAGTATTTGCAGTACATTCCACAAGAAAAACTGTGGCCAAAGTGAAAATTCCAAAGGATTTCACAATACAATATAACAGCACAATAATAGAAACTAGCCAGCCATAAATGCAGGGTTAGGCATGGGTGGTCTTGGCTCTGCCTGTGCTTGCCTCGGGAGCAGAAGCATGGTGAGCCACATCCCATAAGCTGGCAGGACAGAAGTCAGGAGGAGCTGAGAGGTGCACTGCACCTTAACATATACGCCCTTCCAAGAGTCTTGGTATTCCGTTGATTTGGGAGTCCCTCCAACACACTTCAAGTGGCTTTGTAAATATGCCTTTCAAAAGCAGCTTCTGGAGGTAAAAGCTACTAAATCTACTGTAACAACAGTTTGTGAAAGGCGCACTTCACAGCTACACACATTGATACACACATTGCCTAGAAAAGTGAAATGATTGCAGAGGACCAGTTTCTGGAAACCCTGTGCCAGTTTTTCACTAATTCTAGCCATGAAACCTTTTTTCTAGTGTTGGGCACATTCTTGAGATGCTTAAATTTAATTGTCAAAGGGGAGTAAGTGGCAGAAAACACAAAAAATCTTTGAAATCATAATGTTTTTTTCCACAGGCCATCGATAGATGGCACTTCAGTAATTCCAGGTTCAATATTTTTTTATCTGTTTTATCCAAATGTACTAGCACTTTGAAATAAAACACTTTTTCATTTCAAGAACACTGAAGAGCCAGAGATCAGCACCCAAACCTTAAATGCACACATTGAAACTACTAGGGAGTGCCTACTCCCTCCTCTGACCTCATGACACTTCATTTCTGTCCTGCACCAGGGCACATTCTCCAATGAAGAGCAGAGTTATGCTTCTGCTTGTTTTGTTTCCAGTTCCAGCGCCGCATCAGATCCATTCAAACTGGCAGTAGGGTGCTGAACACCCTTTTCTGGGAAGTAAGAGCTCTGAATTTTAATTCCTCTGTCTTCTTTTGCCTGCAAATATTAGCCTAAGACAGAGACTTAATATGACCACTTCTAACAGACATTTCAAAATAAAGTGGTATCTGTAACTATTTTTAGAAGGTTCAGTCCTATAAATGTAGACTGAGGAACAGGTTTCAAATGGACTTAGGTATGAGCTTGTGTAAATGCAACTAACTCACCCATTTTTGACACCTCAGCCCTTTTAGTAAAATATTACATTTTAACAGTGTCCATTGCAGATACACGCAATGTTTTATTGGAATATCAGGCTGGGTTTTAGGGGACTTTAATTCTGTCCCCAGAGTTTGAACACTGGTCACACAGCACAGTTTCCACTGGGGAACCAATTCCAAGTTGTTTAAACTGAGTTTAAAGTACCAGGTTTTTCACAGTCTCTTTCCCATCTTCCTTCCCACAAAACTCATACTATTGAATCTGGAGGTGGAATTGCTGAATGATCAGGTCTTGTAATTCCCCATTTAGGCAGAGTCTTAGAAACATAAACATAACTTTCAGGTGTATTTTTACTACTCATTTTATGCATTTTTTATGACTACAAGTTTTAATAGTAAAAAAGCACATATTTCTATTGAACTGATGATGCTTCATAACCTTCCTCTATACTTCCCTTGACCCTTCATGCCTTCCCATTTCAGTCTATCCACTTCCTTCATTGTTGATTTTGAAATATTTACTCTGTGACTATCTCCAGTACTGATATCTGAGAGGGGGGATGACCATGATTGAAGTTACATATGAGAATACAGAAAGCTGAAATTTGCTCTCATCAATAGCAGAGATGGGTGTCTGTGAAGAAACACTTCATTTTCCTCATCTGGCAAAGAAATTTTTCCTATGTTGCATAATGTATATATGATTTATGTACACAAAAGACTCATATGTAGGCATTTGAATTAGTTTTACTGATACTAACTATTATTAGCTTCAATTGTGAAAACACAGTATTTTTGTTTCTATTTCAGTTGCAGTGAAAAAGGAGGTGGAGAAGAAAGGTAAATCAATGTTTTCCCTTGACTGACTTTCAGGCTGTGACTGCTGTGAGAAATGTTTCCTTCGTTCAGTGAAACAATTGCAATGACATACACCACCTCATGTGCTACCATCAGTCGACTTTATCCACTCCTACTGTGATAACAGAGTTGTCATTTCCAGTGTTGCAACTCCTTGTTAAAACAGGCCAATACAGCCCGGTATCAAACAGTTCATCATTCTGACTGGGAGGAAAATGAGAGACCTTTGTTATCACATCAGGATTTTTCAAAGAGAACAAAACTTGCAGTGCACCATGCATGCTGACCTGGCTGTTTGCTCTTCGCAGACATTGCTTTTCTCGGCCCATTTAATTTCCTCTTTTCGGATATGTATGGAGCTTGCATGTAACCTTTGCTGAAGCTGTTCTTTGATATTTTAACAGATTAGTGGAAAAATTTGCCCTACATCAGAGCCTAAAATATTACTTTTTTATGCTTAAAGATAAATAAAATATATTTATCAGATTCTAAATATCTATTTATAGTGTTGTCTTTAAGATTTACTGAGTTTAAACTTTTTTTTGTTAATTTTCTGATTTTATTCAAACAGCAAAAATAATTAAATATTAGCACTAAGGTGATATTTTTCTTTAGGCTATTCAACTTTCTTGATTATGTGGTTTATAAATCATATCTTACTCACTAAACTGGACAGTGGGAACATTTCCAGAACATTTCCATAGATTTCATGGGATTATTTGAGATTTAGATTTGATTTAGTAGGAAAAAAATTGTTCTTTATTGCTGATATTTACTGATGTGAGTTTTTTGGGGGGACCTTGGGGGTGGATGTCTTTTACCATTTCAAAAACATTTGGAAATTCTGTGATTCACATAAGTGAATAATGGAGCCAACTTTTACTGTCTATACATGAAGACATCTTCAATCCTGCTAATTTATTATTTTTTCTGTTATCCCTATACACAGCTGTTAACTGAACTGGAAAAAAAAATTACATTCTCAAATGTTTTATCAGCTCATGAGTGAAATCGTGGCTGTGTTGATGTTAGTGGCAAAAGTCCCATTCATCCACTGAAGCCAAAATTTCACCTCATGTCTTTAACAGAATAATAAAATTCATTTTGGTTATCAAAAATGACCATGCTTAATAGGTATCAAGCTGGATATTTTGTCCAAAGATTAATTTGCAATAACTGAGGCATGAAGGATAGCACATGAAGCACGGAGAATCAGAAAATTGGCAGCTATGCTTACCACCATTGGTTTTCAGACATCAAAATGCATGCTGTGTTCAAAAACATGGACTGTTACATCCTTAATGGAAAAAAAAGAGTGAGGTAATTGTTAAGGGTGCTACTTCTGTCACCCTTGCCACAGATTATGGGCTCATTCATTTACAGAAAAACATCAAGGGAATTTGTTTTAAATACCTACTGCTTGCTCTTGGCTCATTTTTCACCAGTTAGGATTTTTTTTCTCCTTAGCCATATTCTTTCCCAGCAAAACTGATTGAAAAATGCATTTTTAATGAACATTCTTTGAAGTTAGATTAATTTTTCCATTTCACTTTCAGGTTTATATATTTTCTGCTTAAAAAAAAATTGCTTTGATTTCTTAGTTGAAAGGATTCTACCAACATATATATGTAGGATACTTTCAAGCCCCTGGCTCAGGACAGGTTATATGTCATCCTGGTGGTTACCACCAACCTACTTCACAGAAACATGGAGGTGTGAAATGAAAGTCAGCTTTAGCCATTTTTATGATGTCATCATTCTATTTATTTTTGGACTAAACCACCTTCCTCTGGTTTTCTGAGATCATAACCAACATTGTCAGTAAGGAAGGTGGTGATTCTAGTGGGAAAAAAAAGCTAGTCCAATGAAATTTTCCAGTTACTAAGGAAAACTGGTTCAGCAATGTTCCTCTCTTCACATGTTCCTCTGATATTCTCTTAGATATTCCCTAAACTTAATAACTGGAGAGAATTAATAAGGCTTCTGCCAAAAAACAATCATGTCATGCTTTATCTTTCTCATCTAGCTTCCTCCTCTCTGCAGAACCAACATGGAAAATATTGCATGTTACTAGCTAACTCCTAATATGATCAGGTTTTATTTATTTCTGCTTGTTCTGTTATCACAAGAAATTGCTCCAGGCTTGATGTGTATTCCTCTGACTGGCAATAAAAAAGGGTAGTGTTTGCTGGTTTTGCTTAAGGATACAGTATTTTTTGCACAACTGCAAAAATAATAGAAGTAGCTGGCAGTGCTCTAAATTGACTGGCTCATTATCCAAAATATATTGTGGTAGTAGCATGCACAGTTCAAATAGCACTTTACCATTTCTCATGTGAATCATGCAACACATAGACACTCTACTCTACACGAAGTTTTCTCCAATTATTCTGTCTTATTCAAACACACATCCCTCGTCTAGAAAAACAAGAATAATGAGCAATACAGAGTTACAACCCATCATAAAAAGAGAAGAGAAGAAGATGGAATGATGCTTTCAGTTGATGGTACATTCTGTGCATAGCATAAATCAAACATGAAGGAGTTTGAAAGAGACAGAAAAGAACAAAATTCAGATGGAGAAACCTTATGTATTTCCTTGATTTCTCCAAATATGAGTGGTATTAAAAGGAACCTTAAGGCACAATTTATGTATGAAATTTAGGCATTCACTATTTCTGTTTGAAAGGTTAACTCTCTCAGACTTTGTGATCAAAGTTCTAGAAAATAATCAGCTTTAGCTTCCAGCATCATGTTATGCCTTCTTTCAACACGTATGGGATAGAGGAGCTGTCAGAGAAATGTGTAGAGTGTTGTCAGATCTGAAAGGGCAAGAGGTAATAACCCTTTGCATGAAGAAGACACTTCCTAAACTTCCCAAGAGCAAATCTGGCTGCCAGTACACAAAAATTTTTAATTCTTGCCAATAATTCAAAGCACTGTGAGTAAGGACTCAAGTGAATTAATATAGATCCAGGTATTGGTGAAATAACATTAAATCTCATGATCTTCACAGCAGCTCCAGAAAACAATAAACAGAGCTGTAACACTCTGTAGTATTTCAGGATTTTTTCAGGTTTAATTGCCTTTCTTAAAGGAAAGAAATACTAATAATTATTTTTATTTATATAAACAAAAGCGGTATTTTTATATTTCAAAAATATTTCATAATTACAGAGAGTTCCAAAAATACTTTGTTTGGAATGGAGTCAGATTAGAGAAAATTTCAAGTTTTCCTAGTTTTGTACAAAATGGAATTTCTCATTTCAGTTTGTAGCTTGCATACCCTATTTATTTCTGACTAAAGAGGATGTGGACTGAGCTGGGAATGTCAAGCAAGCAACCTTCACAAGCTTAGTAATTTCTTTCTCCAGGTCGGTGTCAGGAATTCTTGTTTTGAAGATTCTTTATGTCTGTGGTTCTAGGAACCCAAACAGGATTTAAGCACTGCATAATCCCTATGAGTTGTTCTTTGGTATGAGTACATTTAACACTCCCACTCTTTAAAGTGAATCATGAACCTGAGTTGCCAGGAAGTTGGTTTAATAGTTTTCAGAAACAAACAAACAGAAAAACCAACACACATTCATGTGACAAGTTTCATCAAAATAAATTGACAGAAGAGTGTACAGGATCACATTTAGAGACCTTTTTGCAATAAATACAAGCGGGTGTAAAAAAAAATGCATATAATCTGAGTGCAGCTGATATCAAACAAAAGCAGAAAATGGGCAAGACATGTTCATTCAAACTCCAAGGTATATATTTTTGTCAATCCAATAAAGTACAACTTCTTTCAAGTACTCCTGGTAATGGTACCATATCCATGGTTTAGAAACTGCTGCCCTGCATACAAAGTGTGTTACAAACTGGCCAAGCACAGCAGCATCCCTTTTCGATACATACAAAAATCAGGACGCTTTCCAAACTGAAGTAAAAAAGGGTTGTAGTGCATTTCAGAACTATTTGGCTTTGGAGTTGACCGGAAAAATTGGAAGTTAACAATCTTATTCATAAAGCAAATGGTAGCATGGGATTTTGGCTCAGCTGCAGAGGCCACTGGTGCAACATGAATCACAGTTTCATTATGCAGTTTTCTAACATGCATCAAAGGACAAGAAAGTGGATTACCTGATTCCATAACCTCTAAGTGTATTACACAGTCCCCTAAAAAAATTTGTAGTCCTAATCAGAGGGGTAAAAAACCCAAAAACAAACCAAAACCAACCAAATAAACAAAACCCCCCCACAACAATATAAATATTTTTTAAACCATCGTCTTTAAATAGTGTCAAAAATTCTGTATTACATATGATAAAATAACAAAAACACCCACATGCTATTATGCTGTTGAAACTAGTAGTGCTATTTTGACTAGCTGAGGGTAGACGTCTCTCTTATGAGGTAACAATCGATGAATTAGCCACAAGATGGAGCCCAAAGGATCTTCCAGACGGCAGTTAACTTTGCCTGCCTGCATCAGATCAAGAACTAAATAACATGGTTTTACTGAAGAACATTTCATAGGAATTTTAAACTACAGACAATGTAGTTTGTCTAAAAATATTTTTAATTTAATAGATGACTATCCATGCACCAGTGAACTTTGACTTCTCATGCTGATGTAATAAACCCCCAACATTTTCAAGGAGTATTGATAACCAGAGAATTTACATGAAATATGGAAAAGTATCGGAAAAGTCTGCATCAGTTAGCTGAAATTCGCTTGATCTCTGTTTACCTTGTCTCAACTATCTTGAGGGTTTAAATAATTTATGTCCATTTTACAGGGTTACGTGAGACTTAATGATCTGTATAACATCTGCCAAGTGATGAACAGACCTTGAGGAACTAGACTCATGTACTTTCCATGTTGCAGATATTTCAGTTAGGATAATAAGACTTGGCCAAAAAACACTCTCCAAATTGCCCGCTCAATATAAGTAGAAAGCAGGAAGAGGCATGAGTGTTGTAAACTCAAGGCTTTTCACCAAATTAATAAATTTTAAGAATTTTTTAGGTGCTCAGACTGATTTAATCATTAAGAAACGCTAACTCATACAAACATAGATGTCAAAAGTTAATCATCTACATTGAAGCTATTCACCCCAGTCTCAGTTTAGAACTAATAGACAGAAATTAGCATCTGCAGAGAGTGTTTCATCTGTTTTGTATATCTGTCAGAACGCAATTACTTGACCCCCAGAGATACTTACATTTCTCACTTGACTATAACAGGGAATACAGTTTACATTTAGTAAAAAGAAAAGAAAATGAATGTCAGTGAACATCAGGATAGCTTGTTGTTAATTATTTTAACTTTTCCTCTCTTTTAAGAATTTGACATTGAAAGAAAAGTGAGAAGGAGCAAACAATTTGTAGATCTTAATAGCTGATTGAATGTCCACTTTCATTTACTTACATGGAGGGATTAATGCAAATATTTAACCTAGAAATTTTAACATTAAGTTTCAAGCTCCGTGTTTATCTACCTAGCACCTTGTTTTCAGTGTACTCATAGTTAAGGCATGTAAAACTAATGATGCTAACTTACATCCATTTTTTCAAAAAATGACCACAATTTTATTCTCAATAGGATTTAACCTAAGCCTTAATGTTGACTACAACTTTGTTATCCATTCTAGATAAAATTGAGATCACACTGTTTTATGTCTTATGTAACAACAAACTTGTAAAACAATTCATATTGATAGATCTGGCATAGTATTTCAATTGCAGTTATGATTACAAGTTGTGTTAATCATTCTTACATGCCTTAAAGTACAACAGTAATTTATTCAGTCCCTACTATCAAAAACCGGAGCCAGTTAAACTACTTATTTAATGATTATGGAACAACTGTGATTTCTGAAGAAAGAGTGCTCTGCGTAATTGTTGGCCTGTGTTGTTATGTTAGGTATAGCACATGTATATTGGCATCATATCAGCAACACTCACACCTGTCAATCAAGCATAATATGCTTGAACACCTGGATAGTCATATAACACATGGTTAATTGGCTAAAAATTTCCCCATGTGATCAAGTATTACTTTATTGTTCTGCACAAAGATGTCTGCAAATGAACACTCAGGGGTATTCTACTCAGATGCAATTCCAGAATGTGTGGTTCTTCTAGTGCTAATCTACGTTTCTTTTTTATCTATGCAGAGACCATTTTCAGAATGTGCCCTTACAAAGTTGTAGTTAGAGAAAAAACAGTGAACAGCAGCATTTCATGAGGAACAAAGATGGTTCAGTATGTTATACCTGTAGAAGTCAGTCAGCCCTCTGCTTTAATCACCATGTTAATTTCCGTAGCACACTAGGAAAAGTCCATCTTCGCAAAAGATAATTGTTTTTTATTGTTCACCATTCTTATTATCAACTAATCTTTCCTCTGAAATTCTTTTTTTTCTAGATTTTCATGGTCATCTTGTTGTTATCTAATTGACAATTATTTCATTTTTATTTAATAATGTATGTAAATGTATTTCCAGACATTATTATGCTTTTACAAATCCAGTAATAGATGAGAAGGAACTCAACAAAGAAGTTCATATTCAAAGTATTTGCATGGAATCTGGACACACCACTGATTTCACTCAGTTACTCTTCGTGAGTCAATAATTTCTGTTACAATAAAGCATGGCCTAAGCTCGGCTATGTTTTGTCTCAGTTATATATAAATGGAGAACGATATTTCTAAAAGTGAAAGCTTATTAAACATACTCTTCCTCATCTGTATGTTCCCATCCCACAATTTCAGGGAAGAGCACATGAAAACGTCAGAAGCTGAGGATGATATTGAGAGGAAACTCTTCAGGTCTTTCACCACACGTGCCTAAAGATGAAATGCATTAATGCAGCAGATGTACCTCATCCACATTTGACTGAAATTTTATTCTTTCCAGCTCCGTCGATACAAGATTTGTCTTGCTGGGATTTTAAGACTTATAGTACCTTAAATATACAAGCTTTCAGTGCTACCATGCAAGATTGCTGTTTCAACAAAACTTACATTTCCCAGTGCATTTCTATTGTTTAAGTGACAAACTGGGAAACAGAGAAAGATTGGGATCATTACTGATGATCCCTGAAGGCATGCATCTCAGATTGAAGTTGAAGTAATTCCTCTCATTAAAAAGCATTTAAAAATGTTGAAAATGTCTGTACTTCTTTGCTACTTCTACTGTATTTCCCTCATGCTCAAGTTCCTCCCCTCCTCTGTCTGGACTACTTTTTGGTTTTCCCTGCTATATAAAGTTCCCTTGAACTGCCAGTTAAAAATAAGTCTTAAAAAACAAGTTGCTCTAGACAACAACAGCAAAATCCACCAAAACCAAGTGTCAGCTCATTTTTCCCTGTGCAGCCCTAAGGCATAAAGCAAACCAAACAGCAGGGACACAAACATGCTAACTATATGAAAACTAGATAGATATCTTGGGCCAGGCTGCTCTGGTACTGGAAATAACTGTGAGAAAGAATTGTGAGAGCAGCCTGACAGCTTTTTTTAGAGGAAAGAGGGAATATGAAGATCAGTCTGTTGAAGCGAATACCCTACAGGCTCTAATACCAGTGATTAACTATTAATAATAATAAGAGCAAAGCATGGAATTTTAAGGTTTGTCTTAACCATTTACCCTATTGTCATCCTTCAACCACTGCTGAAACATTGGTCCAAGGAAGGTTGTGGAGCTGCACAGACTCAAATGAGCACTCCCTGACCATGAATAAGCTCAAGCTCTCTACTTCTCTTCAAACTTTCCAGACAGCCTTAATCACTTAGTATTTCATACTGGTCATGTTAACGTGGAATAATACCTTCTTAATGTGTAGAAAAATATTCTGGAAAATTCAAGGTCTAAAGTAAACCAGAAATTTAAAACTAATGGTATAGGGAATTAAGAGATCCTGTAAGGGCAAGGCTTACACAGTATGCACTGTAATTTAATTGTATACAACTTCCTCTATTTATGCCACCACCACCACACACTTCCTGCTTTCTTTACTTTCACTCAGCCATAGGGTAACTATTGGCCATACACAATCAAGGCAATTTTTTAACATAGAGCAGAGGTCAGGCTGAAAAGAAGCCATTCTCTTTTTAGAAATCTTGCTGCAGCTAATCTGCTTTATGAGTCATTTTTTTAGACATGTGCTCATTAAACTGTTTTTTCTACAAAATTGGTCTGCCAGCTGCTGAGCTAACCAGCAGGACTTGAGTAGGACACAGGCAGATATGAGAGATCAGGTCTGCTGATCTAGAAAATTGTGGGATCATCTGACTTCTCCTTTGAATGACAAAGAGTACAGACAATAACTTCACAAAGGCAGGGAACTGCTCCTTAACAGTGATAAATCCTAATATTCCTTCTTTTTTTTCTGAACTTATTATCATCTGAGTCATTTTGAACTGGCCTAATGTAAGTAATATATTTTATTCTCTTTGAATTCTTTTTAATGCAGTTCCTTCACAGTCTTAAAAGTCTTGCAGTGACTAGAATAAAACTGTTTTGTTTAACCTTAAATTAAAAACGCATTGATGATCAGGCAGAATGATGTGGCCTCTTAAGCTCTTGAAACTTAAATTTTTAAGGAGGAATGTCCATTAATTTGTATAGAGGTCAGAATTCTAGTTTATCTGGAGTTTATTTTCAGGGAGAATGAACTCAAATAGGAGAATCAAAGATTTATCCTTCATCATGATGTATAAATTGCAAGGTATACTTCTCAAATCATTGGAATTCTGTTAAAAGATTCCTGTTGATTTTGATCTTTCTTTTGGCCTGTAGTGTTCTTAAAGATTAATTTTATGGATGTGCTGAGTGTTCATCTAATGCCCAGTCCAAAACCTGTTAAAAAATCTTTATTTTCTCTTTAACGAGAAATAAACCAAACTCTTGCTTTGTCTAATAGAAAGTTTCTTATTTATAATACACATGTAACTATGCAATTAGAAATAATGTTTCTCAGATACAGCATGCATTGTTATTCTGTCATTCTTCACTAAAACAAATAGTTCTGGTATTGCTTTCATTTCCTTTGTGATATATTCTTTTCTTACAGAGTGTGTACACTCACAAATGTATTTGCTGTCTGAATGGCAAATCACTGTTATCCAGATGGAAAATAGACATTATAATCAAATAAGCACATTTTGCTTTTAGCCTTACCAATTTATGGTTCAGTAAAGCACAGGATTTCTTTTCTGAACTCATATCAGAAGCTAATTTACAAAAATATGTCATATATAGTTAGTGCCCCTGTGGCCTTCAGAATAGCAGGCAAGAGTCAAAGAACATTTTAGATGAATGTGAAACACAGGAAGATATCTACGAAGCACAATTTCCAAGTTTAATTTAGAATAGCAGAAATTAAATTTCAAAAACATATTGCTGAGGATAGAACCAGATGATTTCACTGATCCAGTTCAGATCTTATGTAGCTTCAAGTATCTCATCAATAATCCAGCTACTCTCTTTAGATCCAAATCTGAACCTGTTCCTCTTCTAATGTAGTTTAAGTGTTAAACAAATGAAGATAAAGTACTTACTTAGGACTGAGTTTTCTAACACTGTGAACAATAAAGACTTATTTACCCAACAAGTACTCCTGTTAGTTAATGACATCAGAACAACTGAAGTGAGACCAAGAGGTCATTTAGCCCAACATGTTCCCTCCACCAACAGCCAAACCATCAAATGCTGGTTTGCACTTTCAGTGCAAGATACTACATGCAGTGAGATTCCCAGAGTAGCAGAACACCAACACATCCTTTAGAAACTTTTAACTTTAGAAGACCTTCATTACTTCATCAAAATATCTGCTGGAAATATCTCTGAGTGTTATACCAGAAATAAGCAGGTTGGACTTTTAGGTAAAGCTCAGATAGAAGCAATCTCAGTGTTCAATCTCTGTCTTGATACTGGCACTATATGAGTTTGGTTTATTAATGTCCCCACAGAAAATATGGACAAGGACAACAGAGATACCTTCACAAACTTGAGGGACCAGACCTTAGCTGAGCTTCTATTCTTTTAAACATTCTCTGTGACTCATATTCACCAGCATAAAAAGAGAAATAACTGCACTGGTTTCACTGGAAAGTTAAGGATCAATGGTTTTGTTTTGATTTTAGGCAGATCTGAGATAAGGATGCTATTACAAAAGCTTGGCTGTAAAATTCATTAAGCAGTGTCAATAAAGAGTCTTTAAAACAATACTGTTCAAATGCCACCTAGCTCTGATCATATTTGGTTATCACTGAAAGTACCATGTGGCACAATATTCTGTAACAGTTATGTAAGCCATTAAATCATACTCTGAAGTTCAGATTTTATTTAAATATTTGCTGTAAATTTCCTTTTGCAAATTGAAATTCATAGTTAGGTGAGCATATGTCCTTTGACACAATAAAAAATTGATTTTCTCTATTAATTTCAGATATATTTCATGGAAACTCAATTGTAATAGAATTTGCCTCAGCTTGTGATGTTTACCTACAAAAGATAACAAATGTGGCTTTGTCATAGGACACTTGTTTTTCTGCTGTTTCCTGTTTCTGATTCTCCTATTAGGAGCAGGCATATATGCTTAATTTGTATCTTTGGTCTCTATTACCCCCAAAAATGCTTTGTTGTGCTGTTAGTTTTTTTTTAACTTTGCTCTGCACACCGTCTCCAGTTGCTGTCTCCTTAAATGCACAACAACTTGTATTAAATAGAGACTGGATATAAAATGGGAGCAATTTTATACTATAGAGAAAACAAGCAAAACACAAACACACTTGCACAGCAGTTACTTTTTGTCCTGAGTGGGAGCTAGGGTGTTCCGGAGCTCAGTGAATCAAAGCCTGGGGGCTCACAGCAGCAGATTTATTGCTTGTGTTACTGGGGCTGCAAAGGCAGCTCATCCCCTGCACTGCTGCATCTGTCTGTGGGATTACACTCTTTCACACATACTGGGCATGCAGGTGGTAGAGCCTTTTTTCTCTTAAAAACAACAGCTGCCTTGCAACTGTCAAGAAGAAAAATTCAGCTGGGGGGCTAGGTCTTGACATTTAGCTTTTTTCTTTAGAACAAATAATGACACGGGGTACAGCTCCCTGAGCTCCCCTCTTAGCGTCCATGGAAAGTATTAACTTGGTTTTCAGTTTTATCTCATCTATTTTTTTCCTGGAAAAATGTGGAAAATGAAATGGTACAAAGTTTAGGAGTTGCAGCACTGAAATCCTTTTGTTTACAAGTGCCCTAATTAAGTTAATTAACATTTTCAAATATGTCTTTTTTCCTCTTGGAGTATCACTAAACCACCTGAAATTCACTGACCTCACTAAAGCAGGTGTAATTGTCAGGGACTCATGTTTAGACTGCCCTAAGTGCAGTTACCTCACTCAAGCTAAAATTGTTTGTCTGGTTTTGTCTGGTATTGGACCTTATGGTCTGAACCTACGCTGTCTCTGGCACTGAACTGAGCACTTCACTTAACAAGGTAGTTTCCCTAGGTTTGGTGTATGGACACCATTTAGTGAGGGTGACTCAGCCCACCAAAGAGGTGCAGAGCCTTCCAGGGGTACTTGTATCAAACTTTGTTTAAATGAGGAATTTAGGAGCCTGTATTCCTTAACTGTGTTCCTTAACTTAGGGTACCTGTATTTCCAGTTAGGTGTCTGGGGCGGACAGTGCAAGAAAACGCTAGCTGTTGAACATTTTAACATAGATTTTACTGAACTTTTATATGTCTAAAATATCATTAATAAATGCATTAAATCCTGCATTACAATTACAAAAATATTAAAATGTGCCTTTTTTGTTTACTTCTAGCTACCTCAGAGAAACCTCATGAACACAGTGAGTATCAAGGTGATAAAGAACATTGTTATTTCAGATTTTTGGAGGAAGGTATTTCTTTATGTTGTCAAAGTTTTAGCAGCTTAAGATGGGATTCATCAACACAAAGTCACACAATATTTTGACTTATAAAACTGGTTTTCAATTACTTGCTCTGTAATGCAGGACCAGGCGTGTTTCACAGGTCCCAGTTTGCATGGAAACCATTTTCCAATTCAGGTCAAGATAAGACCTAGCTTTGCCTTCTGCATCTAAGGCAGCTTCGTACTGGGAAAAAATCAAGGGAGCCACAGATGAGGAAGGGTCTGTACAATTCTCTGGCTAGGCCTCTGGCCCAAGCTTTAGAGAGATTTATCTGTTGGTCTGCTGCAACCTCACCTGCTGTACAGTTTAAACATCTGTGCTATAAATTAGAATTGCATATATTTTTAACATTCCTCTGAAATTCCATAGCTTTCTTTTTTCTGTCTCATAATGTTGGGATTTGGATATCACACTGTTTTTAAATAGCACAAAATTGCATTATATTATAATACGGTATAACATCCATTATTCTTACTGCTTCACAATATATCTATGGGATCCCTGTATTAGCTACTGTGAAGAAAATTAACTCTATCCCAATCAAATCCAGGGCACAGAAAAACATGGAAAACTACTTTTTAATTTATGCAGGATACTGAACATTTATTTGTCATTCTAAATGAGAAAACCCCACTTCTGTTGTAATAAAGTACTTCCATGATTTCTGTATTATACATCAAGGAAAAATTTTCTGTATAGAAGATCAGCTATAGCAATTAAATTTAATAGTAGAAGCATTTCAAAATTTTTAGAAATTCTATGTTTCTAAAAAAACACAGAAAATAATTTTGTGATTTCTTAAACACCATTAAAAACTTAAAAAAAATCTTGTCATTATTTTAATTTTTTAGGGAAAAATAATTAAATACTCTTTCTTGAGAAATATATCTATCGAAAAATTCTTCTCTGGTCTCATGTGAATGTGTAATGCAGTCATCTTTTAAAATTATAATGAGAATCTTTTATTTTTTAAATCTTCTAAAAATTAAAAAGCCCTCTAATTTAGGATTCCTTATTTGCAGAGCATGAACATGTTAAACATGAAAAAACTATCTCTCAGAGTAAGCCAGGTAGGTCTGGTAATTTAATCTCCAGTTAATCCCAGCTCCACTTAATAAGGATATGCATGGTCTGAAAAACTTGGAGACTTCCTTGAGCTAGGCACAGATTTTTTTCAGGGACTAGAATGCAAGTATCAACATACTGTTGACCTTTGTTAGCAGTGCTGCTGTTTGAACTTCACATTGAAATGAAACGCTCACGAACAAGTGATTGGATACACCATTTAAACCTTTATGTGTTCAGTGATAAGCAGGCAGGCTTTTTTTCGTTACTTTCTTTTCCTGAATTTTATTTTGAAAGAAAGTAATTTCTCCTGTGCATTTAGCATTTTTTTCATTCATTTTTATAATTAAATATTCTACCTTGTAAGTTAAGTATTTCCATAGACATCTTGAGGTTTCCTACAATCCTTGAGTAGCTGATTTAGTAAAGATGTATTGGCTTTGAGTCAATAGGGGGAAAATATTTCTCAGTTCATCCTTCAAAGTCACATAGGCCAAGCTTTAAATTTAACTTGTTGTTCACTTTTTGTGTATTAAAAGCTACCAGAATGCTTCAACCAGCAGGCAGGTGTAGGTGGACTCAGCCAAGGCAGGAATGTCCTAGTGAGGAAGCCACACTTGGTGGCCACAGTGGTGGCCAAAAAATGTGTTGCCTGGACAGGTGGCATGACCACTTATCTTTCCTGCTAAATGAAATCAGTCCTACTGCACAATCAGCCCAATCTCACCCATATAGCAGCAGAAAAATAAATTTTTTTTGGTGAGGCATTCTCAAACATGAGAGTATCATGTCACAGCATATTGGACTGATTAGGAGCTTATTCGGTATATTCCAGACTCAAATCCTAGGAATTTAAATGCTTGAAGGAAAAAAACTTACTAAATTTCCTTTAACATAAAAGACCTATTCTCAGGTGATTAATGGTTGCTTTGGAGAACAGGGGCTGCTTTGAGTTTCAGTTGATCACTGGAAGCATTAATCTGCAAGCACTGGTGGTAATAGTGTTTCTGCCCGCTGTGTGCCAATGAGTGCTTTTGAGTTAGCAACTTGAATTATAAAAGTTTTATTCTATACAAAGCAGCGACCTCCTTTTTCACCTTGATTCAGAGCAGCTTCAAAACTATTATTCCTATGCCTCCTGTCATCAGACTTAGAAGTATCACATGGCTGAGGTACTAGAGAACTTCAGAAAATATATTGATCCTGTAGGGATATTTAAATTAATATTTAAATTAAAGAGTGTTTTGTGCATGTCAGTGAAAGCAAGTAAAGCAAGAAAATTCATTCCTGATGTAATTCTGCTGAAATTGCCTTCAACACACAGAGAAATGTTTACAGATTTATGTTTTTCCATTTACATTAAATACATCAGGGAAAAAATAATATTAATGCTTGTAGTGCTTCCAAAACTGGAGCTCTGCAAAGAAATAAATTCACTCCAATGAAAGATTTCAGAGTTTTAAACTTTTGGCTTACTCAAAATCCAAACAAAATCAGATTTTTTGTTTATATATTCACAAAATTTATTTTGGACTTTTTTCTGCTTTATGAGGTCATCAAAATAGTTTAATTTTTTTTTTTTAGCAAGACTAATGATATGGTAAACAAAACATGCATAAGAAATTAGAAATATGACATGTTCTTAGCAAAATAATATGCATTATCCTCATCGGGTTTTTTTCACTGCTTTTTTTCACACTGAAGCTGGTGAACAGAGTGATTTTGTGAAGCTTTCTAATGTCTTGAAGTGTATTCCCTTATAGAAACTGTTCTACCTAAGTCTGGATGATCTAATCCTTCAATTTTACTTTGGCTACAATCAACAGCTAGAAACTCAGAGAAAAAACCATACAGTCATCACCTGGAAATCTGCCAGGGAATGTGTCAAGGTGTTCTCCAATGGAGTCAATAGATCAATACTTACTGTATGGTTAGATTGTAGAATAAGCAGGTGAATGAATACCAAAAAATTGCTGTATTTATTCCCAGATGAATACAAATTCACAGGCCTCTTCAAGACACTCTTGTTTTCAACAATAAATTGATTTTGAGAAGAAATTCCTCCCCTACTTTTAAATTGATCAGATGTGCCATCCAGTCAAAGACTTATTTCCCTACTTATTTCCTCCAGACTTATTATCTTAGAATTACAGAGAAAAGATTGCTGTAAATTCTCAACAGAATTAGAAAAATACCTTATTTGGTGTTCAAAACAGTTGGGGTCATACGCAAATAAAAGAAGCCTTTTGATTTTTGCGTGTTATTAATCCAATGCATGCTACAGGTCCTATGTTTAAAGTCAGCATGCTGGGTTTATTTCTGTATTGGTACATCAAAAGCTTAACATCCTGATCTAAACTAGTGAAATGTAGTGTTATATGGTAAAGCTTTTCTAACAGCAGAAAAAATTTAAAAGGAAATCAGCACAGAAGAGAAGATAAACCTTCTCTCTGCCCTCAGAAAGAAAAATTCTCTGGAAGTTACACACTAAATTCAAAGGAAACATCATGTATGTTGAGACCACTCAACAGTCTGCTCTTCTAATTACTGTACTACCCACATATTTAGTCAGAGTGCAGATTAGGATATAGTAGCCGAACTTGGACTTTTGGATTCCATAGAAATAGCTCCTACAAAAGAACAGTTCTTGAGGTTGACTATTTGAGGGTACATAGGTATAGTGATGGGTTAACCAAGGCTCTGACCATCCACAGGTGGCTCTAGCCACCTGTCTCTTTTCCAATACCTCCCTCTATGAACTCATTTAAGAACAAGTTTGACTGCCAGGCTGGAAACATTGGTCTCAGTCAGGGGTCAAGCAGCTTTGTGCATGCAGACAGATTACACATTAGGATTTCTAGACAAATAGTACTCAGATTAGTCAAATGGCTTTGGGGAAAAATATACCTGCCTGACCTGACCTCCACCCAACCATTGTCAGCTTCAGTCTGATGCCTTGCAGAAGTCTTAGGGGAAAGGAAGGGGTCAGAGGCATGTGGCTGCAAACTGCTTTCAGCAGAGGAAGGGGAAATATGGTCTGAATATGTCTTAAGCATATTTAAGAATAATTTAGTGATGTATGTTAATGTCAAAAGGTGGCAGCTGGGAGAGGGGCTTGAATTCAGTTATGGAAAAAGAGATAAGATGGAGTAGTTATAAAAAGGATCTGTTAGGGTGAAGTTTAAATCAAACAAACTGAGTACAGTAGAAATAGGAAAATAAACACCCAAATTTCCACCTGATGTGGACATTTGGCAGGTAAGACAAACTCCACCTAATTAGGAAGTGTAGTCCCACCCATGCCTCTGCTTGAAGTTTTATCCACCATCTAACTTGGAGAAGAGGCGGCTCAAGTCTGGTGGCTGGTGTTGACATGGGTCTACATCATCTGAGAATCGTGCTCAGTAAAGCCACAGGCAGCTGAAGGGCAAGCGAACTTGGGCAGCTTTTCTCGTGAGATTAGCAGTTCAGGGCTGCTCTGAGGTTTTGTGATAGATATCTAGCTAGGTCTAAGTAAGCTTGTCCGGTAGCAGGTGGTATGAACTGACATTCAGACTGTCCCACATGTCCCTCTGTGAGTTAGCATGTGCTTAGGAGTCTCCATACCTTCATCTTCAGAGTGTAGACACACATGTATACCTCCATTCATGCTTGTGATTAGGTAACATCTAAGCAGAAGTTCTCATTATTGCATGATACCAAATTGTTGAACTTAGACACTTAGGAAAGTGATGTTCTCAAAACTATAATAGATGCATTAATAGAATAGTTTCCACCAGAGTGCCTGCCTGAAAGAACTAAAAGGTATGTGGCTGTTTTCTGACGGCTGAGACACTAGGACCAGTAATTTAATTTTTCCATGGAGTATGATCTCACCATGCAGTCAGAACTCATAATGCATGCATGCTGTTTTATAGTGCTACAATGGGATAGTGATGCTAAAGATATGAATTTATTTTGTCATTGTGAACCATATGCATACTATTACCTATAGAAATATTTTTCCAATTATATTCACCTATGCTAACGCACTGTGATTTTAATGTTACTTTCACAATACAGAGGAGAAAATTAAACAACAAAAGACAACTCCCACTGTGAAATCAGGTAAGAATCAATCCTTCTCTCCTGATTTATGGAGGGGGGTAGGGAGTGTCAAACACTATTCAGCACTCATCTAGTGTAGTATGTTTGCACTGCAATAATTTTTTACAGTATTTTGAAATATGTAACTGATAATAGTTTCTTAGAGCAAAACCAGCAGAGTGGCAATTGCAGATACCATTCTAGGGATAGTCTTTCCAATGATGAAGACAGGTCAAGGCCTTTTGGCCCCTAAGCTGCTGGTTCCAGCCTCTTTGTCAGAGCTGGGCTAATGAAATGGGGTGTAGCTGTAAATCAGATTTCTGAAATTATCTCAAACATGGGGATGAACCTTCAGTTGGATTAGGAACTTGGATCAGTCTTAAACTGGCTGTCTCATGGGGAAAACAACTTTGGAACTAAACTCTAAATCTTTGGAGCTTTTCTATGATTCAAACCTTGTAAGTTTTGTAATGTAATGATGGCAGAAAAAAAAATCAAGTAATATTGACTGTTATAGCAACTGTGAAGAGTCAGCTAAGGAATTAAAACATTCTCATCAGCAGCAGCAGTCAACACAAAGCCGTTCAGAAGGATTTTTCATAACCTCTTTATTTCTACTGGGGGTAGCTGTGATCAAAGCATAAACTGAAAGATTGCCAAATCTTGGACAATGATGTCAACAATGGATTTTCATTTGATATGGTGATGATTTGTATTCTTGTTTTGTATATGTCTTTTCTTTTTTGCAGTAGCAGAATAGATGTTGTACAGAGTATTATGGTTCTGTCTCTAATGATGTACATTCATATAATTTGTGGTTTTATATTTCTTTCTATAAGACCTCTTATGATAATCTGTCATTTTACTATGAATGATGTTTTAGAGCTCTCTGATTATCCAGTAAAAGTACTGGTTTGATAGTTTGTATCTGATTCTAAACTGCTGTAGCTTGCTCAAACCCACATAAATTATGTTTCTTCTAATACTAACTGGAGAAATTACTGACAAACACTTCAATATATTTCTAACCTAAATAGTTAATGAGTTAGGAATTACTGATAGGTAAACAAATCTCTAGAAGGAAGAAATTACATTTTTGAATTTACAGGATTTTCACATCTGAATTCCCAATTTTGCTTTTATGGTCAGTTAATTTTCGCTTTTAGCTTGTGATCAAAATTAAAAGGTTCAAGTATTTGGAAACAAAACTGACAGAAATATCATGACTTGGCTACTTTTTAGAAGATTTGTTCATGTGATTATCATGTCTTTTTCCTATTTGTTGGAACCAAACTGAAATTACAACATTTCAGTTTGACCAACTCAACATAAGTTAGTACAGAAATAATTGTAAGTTCTCAGATCAATACCTGTTGAGCTTGAAACAGGCAACTTCAAACATCTTTATTTAATAAACATTTCATAATTACATGAATTAACTTCTGGAGATGACTAGTACTCTCCTGACTAAATATGTAGACTGATGTGCTCTTGATCTTGAAAATCTAATTAATCTTAACTAAAATTTCCAGTCATCTGTTGACTGATCTGAAGCTACTTCTGATTTACACCATTACACAGGGAGAAGTAATCCTGGAATGCATAAATATGTTACGGTGCTAAATGACAGAATAATGCATTATCAGTAGGAGCTGATAACTAGTGGGAATTGCAAAGATCTATATATGTTAGCCTACCTGCACTTTATCAGTTTGAATGCTGTGCACCTTTACACAAGTAGGGGAAGCTAAGAACAAGTGAGAACTCAGTGCCATAAAATATTTGAATGTTAAAAAGAAAGGGGAAAGAAAAGAGTATTTTATCTACTCTTTGTATCTAAATACTACAATTTAACTTTTTTTGTCTTCTGTAGTGCAGGCAAAGCCAACAAGTATGTGATTCCTACCTCGATCAGAAAAATTTCTGTAAAATAGCTGCATATGTGTGTCTTTTTTTTTTACTTTTACATGAGAAAACCCTCCCTTGGCAATTTCTAGCTTTGCTAAAATTGTAATTCCTTTATCACCATGCCTTCCATTTCTTTGATTTATAATAGTCTTGTCATTGCTTTTTAAAAGTCAACTTTACATAACATATTCCTTCAGCACAGGAGTCAACTCGTTCTATGCTTCCCATATTACAACTCCCAACAAAGAATTAATATAGGATTTACAAGTTTTTAAAAAATCACTATTAACAGTTATTTGGATTGAAGAAATGCTCCTGCTGAATTAAAAAAAGAAAAAAGATAAACTATTTTAATATAATTGCATCCTGAATTCTTCTCAGTCAAAAACAACTCAAGAAAGAGTCTATACCTTAACTTACCACACAGCTTGCTTGTTGTTTTACTATATCTTTCATACCTTTAGAATCCCAAGTAAACTTCAAAAAAAAAAAAAATTAATTCCCTAAATAATTTCATTATCAAAAAAAGCCCAGATATGAGAAATATATCACTCTTCACTGACATATGTTTTCATTCACACCATAAAACTCTTACCCATTTGAAATTCCCTATCATGTGTTCCTCTTGGTATTTCTCCACATGTATCTTCACCCGAAATCACAGTTACTAGGAATTCAATTATTCATCTAAGTAGCAGAAAGGATGAGGCATATTGACCTTTTTCAGGGGCCATTCACACTTTCAACACTCTCCACTTTCCACTTTACAGCCCACTTTTGGGTCCTCATTGCTCAAAAGGAAACCGATACACAGTACTTTAGCTGTGCAAAACATGACCTGGAAACAAGGCCAACAGATCTGTCCATTGATTCCTCAGCCTTGAGTTGCATTGTGGTCCCTGTTTGCACTGCATAGCTTCTACTATGGTGTGAGATCTGTGGGGTGGGGTTTTCTCAAAGCAAAGTAACATAAATTATAATTTTTTCCAGTAATAATTATGAAGTAGAAGGGAGGGAAGGGGGAGATGAAATGCAATTTTCAAAGCTAAATATAATTTATTCATATGGAACAGTACATGTTCAAGAATTTGGGAATTCAACTCAAGCATATCTGGATCAACAACATAAAGGCTGAGTAAATAGTTGCTGAGTTTGCTCTATGCTCTTCTTTAAAATAATAAAAATGGAAAGTAGATACAAATTACATTTCAAAAATTGAGAGGAGACCCTGTTAACTGACTTCTTCCTTAAGATACATGCATAACTCTTAGTGGTATTAACTGTAGTTATATGCATAGAGCTATGTACAGTACTAATGAACTTTGTTATTTTGTGACAGATCCTTCAGTGGATAATTTGTAAATAATCACGCATGTGTTTGGTTTTTTTCAAAACAACAGCATGAAACAAGAGAAATTGAATGCTTAATCCTGAAAAATATACATGTAGTCTTTCTTAGTTAAAGCCAAAACAAATCAGAAACAACACAAAAACTCCAACCAATCAGAAAAAAAACACCAAAGTATCCATACAAAATGTAACTTAGAAACATAATGGTGATTTTATTATCCTGTTTCTCTCATCTAGAGCAGGAAGCAGTTAGACATCAAAAAGATGTTCCACGAACAAAACCAGGTAAGGACTCCTGCACTTTATGTATTCATTACTTCTGAAAATGTTATTTAAAGAAATATTGAAATAAAATTTTATATGACAAATGTCAGTCATGGCCCTGTGATCTATTTTGCTGTATAGAAAGGCCTTGACATGCTATACCATAACTAAGATAACACAGTGCTCGTTTACAATGTGGGTTGTCATCTTAAGATATAGACATATGTATATATCAAAGGTCAAATTTCTGCTTTTGTAATTCCATTGATGTTAAAGGCATATACCAGCAAGGAATTTGAACCATTTTCTGGAATTGCTCACTTTACATGGCTTCATTTTGTTAATTATTTGTGGGTATTTGCCTTTTATTTGAACTTCACGGTCTTCCTGTATGAGTTAACTTGTCAGGACAAGAAATAGTTTAATTTTTATCCATAGTAGGTATTATATGATAGTTTATTCAGCATGACCTGGCACTATCTATCATTTATGGTAAATGTTTCCGCATATCATAACTCATGCACAGCCTCAGTTGTACAAGATGAGCAAAATTGCTGGTGGGTTAGGAAGGAGTATTGTTCAGTTTCTCTGTGTAGCAATCATCATGGGTTTAAGAAATGTCTGCTCCATGCTTCTCTGTGGAAGGAAATAAGTGAAGAATTAAAATTCTTATTTTTATTATTATTCATCCTTAACTCTAGCAAAACAATTGTCATCTGTAGATGAGAACAGCCCTACTACTATTATTCATTATTAGATTGTTATTAATTACTGTGATATTATTAAAAATTGTGTTTTGATACGCAGGAATCATATAGAACAAATAAAGCTATTCTCTGCTATGACAATGTTATGCTGAACCTGACTGCTCTGACCATTTTTCTTTCCTCTTTTTACTTCCCAGTCAAACCAAAAACCACTGCAAGTATGTGTCATGTCTTGTTTCTTACAGAATATAAACCTTCTTTTCAGATGCATGTTGTCTCGATTTGCATTTTTGTAATTTTGTCATGTTAGGTAACGTTATTTTCTTACTTATACTACAGATACTCTTGTACTCCGCCTGCTTACTAGCAGCTGAACACAACAATACTAAGTACATTTATAATGTAATATTGGGAAGCTGCAACTTTCAAACTACTTTTGCAATTTTTACTTCTTATAAAATAAATTAAATTACACTCGTATCAAAATTGATGTTCTGGTGATTTTAGATGAGTTTAGATGCATGATTTATCTTTATGCAAATATATTTTTTATTGAAAATGGCATGTAGCATAACTGAATTAGGCAACCTTTTCCTTACTTCTTTTACCATTTTGAAATTACTTATACCATTAATTCACTAAGCACATTGTTGGGCTTGTTTCCAAACAAGATTTTTTTTCCTACTTTAATAAAAACCCTAAATTAAATTAAAGAAGAGAAAGGAATATTTCCAATTTAGATGAGTTTTAAGGAGGATTCAAGTGGAATTTCTCACATTACAAATACTTCCACTGAAGTCATTGGATAATGTTGTTCTTAAGGTCACTAAGACTTCTGAACAGATAAAGAGTGGGATCTATTCTTACTGTGGCAAGTCATTACACATTACATACTGCAAATCATGATCAGACAAGAATCGGAAGGACAGTGCTTACACTGCATGCTTTGAATTGTGAAAATATTGAGGTATGGACCTTCACAGATGGATTCGTTGTAGCCTCTTTAGCACAGGACCTATGTTTTCTTTTTTTGTACTGTGCCTGGTACATCAAGACCAAACCATGTTTGGTCTTGCACGCACAAGAATACCAAACCGCAGGTTGAAATCAAGAGGAAGAACATGTAGGCTGATATTTTAAGAGAAAAACTAAGAACTGGCCAAACCATATTCCTGTTTAGCTCTGTAATGAAAGTCCTATGATAAGGGTAGTGTGTTTCTCAAGGTCCTCAGAGTAAGTGGAAGTTTGTTGATGCATTGAGAAGAGAAAATGGCTCTTACATTTCATAGACCAGAGGGTCAAGCTGACTACCCTTGAGGTCAACAGTGTTCCCGTACCTCACTGTCTAAGTCATTAATCCTAAATTAGGATACATGCAGATAACTGGGCCCATTCAGATCCCTCAGAAAGATAATCCCTCAATTAAGGAGTGAGAGCATGAAACTCTTTCCCAGATTTAGTACCTCAGAAAAATCTTGTTTTATCTTCTGAAAATAAAAAAAAATTTTAATTATTCCATGGGTGACAATGCAGTACTGTATCATCTTTCAGCAGCTATGAACATGATCATAAGCAAAAATGTAAATATTAAAAGGATTTAAGCATGTCAGCATTTAACAGCAGCAAAACTGGCCTTTGCTGAATGCCCATGGTGCCTAAGCATTGAGCATTGACATTTATGGGTTTCTTTACAAACCAAGACTTGAATGAAAGTTTCCTGGGATGTGTTAGTGAAAATCATGCTTAATTGCTCAGTCTTCCTGTTGAAAAAGCATTGATGGAGACATTTTCACCTTGGTGTGAGCTGTAGAGCCTCATGTTCACCTGAAACCAAAGCTCAGCAGGAGGAAAATACAGAGATAAATCAATCAAAAGATATCCTGAAATGTTTTGAGAGGTTATTCTCTTTTTGTCCAGCTCCAGGTTCAGGGAATAGAGGCTTTGCTTGGCTAGTGAGGTTATTCTTCTTCCTTCAAATTGTATTTTAAGATAAAACTGGGACTAATGAAGTAGCAATGGGTAAAAAATTCTTGGATTCAAAATCATGATTTAATTCATTCCTTTGATTTAAAAAGAGTAATGATGGTTTGTACCAGAGAATTTCTATTCCATTGAACTGACCAATTTGCATTCATTGTTATGGGTATTAAAATAGCACAAGAATATATGCTTCTCTTGTGCTAGGTGCTGTACAAATATGTAGTCAAAATCTTTGCATCTCCCAAGAGGTTTTATTCTTAAAAGGCAAGGTAAACTACTAATGCGGGAGAAACACACACGGGGGAAAAGGCAGCTATTCAAGGTCAGTGTCATTTTTTCATTGGAGCGTGTGGACAATGAGAGGAAACATTTTAAATTAATAAATTTTTTGGAAAATAGCATAGTCATCTATAACCTTGAAGGCATATTTAAAAATAAGTATTTAAATATTTGTTTGCTGGAAGGCTTTCATTGGCACAGTGTTTGCATTTGCAGGAACCATTGCATGTTGGATTATAGTACTTCAAAGAGTAAGAGTTTTAGCTTTCAATGTGAAACTATGTACACACCCATTGTTGAGGTGCATTTCTTTCTAAATTAATATCCTACAGAAAAGGATGTCGCAGATATCTTTCATCTTGCAGATGAAAGAGAAGATCTACATAAATTGTTGCTTGCCCTGAAAAAAACATGGTACTCAACCTGTTATTCTTTTCCTTCCCTTCCCCATCCCCTTCCTCTTCATCATTGATCATTTTCCCGAAGAGCCAACAGCTGAAATCCCAACAGCAGGTAAATATTACATTTCTCTACTATGCCTTGTGGAAAGAACTAATGAACATACCACTTAGTGCATACTGCTCATCAGCAACAAGCAATGATAATGTAAAGCAGCATGGGTGAAATGACAGCATTGCTGCTATGTAGTTCTCTACCACAGACTGTTATGATTGGTCAGTCGTGATTTTCACTGTTCATCTTCTGCAGCATCTCTTGGTGAGCTACACACAGGTGATCCTCACGGAGCAAGCTAGTGTTAATCAGATAACACATGCACCAGAAGACATTGAAAAAAACATTATCACAACTGGTTGGATGATACACAGTGCAAATGAACAATTTGAAGGCAGCCTGCTAGTTTCCTGCTGTAGTCAAAAGGGAATACTGAAATGGACTCAGACGCCTGAAGCGATACACTTTACTTAATTTCAGTCTGCTCTGTTGAATGCAATCACAGACCAAATGCGTTTGCAGGCTGGGGAAAAGGATGCTGAAAAGAAAAAAGCACATGCTCTAAGTGAATGGACAATTAGGGGGGAAAAAAACCTTGAATAAAAGAAATTACAATCTGTTGGTGCAGGACTTCTGAATGGTCACACTTGGCAGTTTTAAAAGTCCATCGAGCTCCATATTCTGGGGTGTTTTGTTTGTTTAATTTTTTCAGATTGAGATCACTCTGGGAAAGAGAGAAAGAAACAAGCAATAGGCAGAGGGATCCTTCCCTGGTGCATTTTGGCAACAAATAATAAGGGAAATCTGGCAGTAGTTAAGGAATTACAGAATTCAAGTGCCTAAAGCCCTTATCAGAGTTTTCTAAACTACTCTGTAACCACCAATATTCAAAAAATTTCCAAAAACTCTACATAAAGCCCAGAATGGCTGCTGCTGCTAAGGGTAGCAACCACTATTATAGTATTAGAGACATTGTATACGTGCCATGAGACACATTTACCACAATAATTCTTGCAGGGAAATTACAAGGGAGAGAATCTTTGTGCAATGTACTTATTGTAAGAGCCCTGTATTTCTGCTGCCTGTCACGTAATTTTCTTTCCTTGCAAATCTTTCTAGCCACAAAAAAACCAAAACCAAAGACAACTAAGGAAAAAGAAGGTAGGATTTACTCTGTGTGTGCACATATATGTAGAAAATAACAATAAAAATAGCATGAGATTGCAAATTTGCATGTATTGTTGTTTGAAACAACCCCTAATATATCTGTGTTAATTTGTGAAGAATATTACCAGACAATTCTAGGCAATAATCTATTCAACAGTCAGCTTACCAAACTTGAACTGTGCTACTTTTTCCTTGCTAGAAAAACCAACAGAGAAGAAACAGTTGAAAAATGAAAAAAACAAAGGTAATAAAGGGATGAGTATCTTTGTAAACAGTAGTAAAAATGCAAGCATTAGGTTTTGGGGTTTTTTGAGGGGGTTGGAAAAAGGAGGTTTGTTAGTCTTTTTACATGTGTGCAAGTAGGCCAAAGTGATGATATTGTACATAAATTTCCAGTAATTGAATGTCTGGTGGCTCCTTTGCATATGAGTATCAAGGATTACATCAGCACATCCAATCTGGCTGCAGCAATGCCCTGCCCATGACCCTCCCTGGCTGGCACAGCATTAGCCTCTCTGCAGGATTCTCCAGCACTGCAGCTTCAGGGTTGGCAGCCCCCACTGTGTCTGCTGTTATGCTCCCTACAGAAGTAGTGCAAAGTTCATCTCCATAGCTTGTGTGATCCCTTAGGTCACCAGCTTCATGCTGTAGAATAACTGCACTGATAACAAGAAGCACTTTTTTATATATAAGACAGACTTCACGATCACCTATATTCTGGCTACACTGCTGGACACAGCACTACCTTGGATTTTTTCCCTACAGTAATATACAAACGGAGAAATGTTTTCTGCTATGCCTCTAAAGATAATTAATAGTAATAAATTACCCTATTTTATTAAGGAAGTGATGGAAGACATAAAAATCTTCTCTACATTGGTTAAATACAGTGACTTACATATAAACTTTGTATATTGAAGTCCTGACCCTCAAAGGATAACTGTTAGTTGTACTCGTGCAAGTGCATTAAACTAGCACCTAGAAGCAGTTTGGTTTTATGGCTTCACCAGACATAACATTTCTATGTTTAAATAATTTATTAGGAGAGTCATGCTTAAAAAAGTCTAGTTTAAAGAAATTCTTATGTGAGATTTGATTCCAAGAAACCAACATGTTTCTTACTGAAATTTATTTCAGTATTTTGACCTGAAACTGAAGATTAATGTACTATCTACCTTTTGTCCTTTAGGTGCCCCACCAGTAAAAGAAGCCCCACGACATCAAAACCTGACATCAGGTACATGATTTTCCTTTATTGTGAAGGAACTTCCTTTCAGGAAGGCTGTGGTTTCTTGTTTAGTTTTGTTTGGTTTGTTGTTTTGGTGTTTTGTTGTTTGTTTTTTTTTCTGTAAGAGAGATCACACTTGCAATCTTTTCTCTTTTCGAATTCCAGTCTAAGGGACAAGATGTGAGACAAGCCAGGCAAATCAAATCCATAAATATTGTCCCTGTGAGGAATTAATTGCTAAAATGGTATTACTGTACCACCTTCCTAAACTTTTAAACATATATTCAGACAATTACTTTATTAATCAAGTGGTCTAATTAATTTGGCATGCAGTGTTTAAAACAAATATATTCTCCTCATAGAAAACCTTTTCTGTAACAAAACCACACAGGGAGAAACATATTCAATTTATTTTCTTTCATATTAATAAATATTGTCTTCCATCACACTCTGTCCCAACCCCCCTCTGGCAAAAATGGTGAATAAAGGTAGGGCACCTCAGAAGAAAACCTCCATCCATTTTGTTATCATGTTTTTACTAGTTCGCAGCAAAAATATAAATATGTTCCAGGTTCTTGACGAGTATAAATTAATCCCTATGACTTCAGTGGAACTGCATTATTTCATGAAAAACAAGGATCGAAGTCTTTAGTCTCGCCTGAGGTCTAACTGACTTACACAGAAAATATGAACTAAATATAAATGTGGTTCCTCCTAATGAAACTTTGTAGGCTTAAACTACTGAGGAAAGAAGTTCACTTCTAATCATCCAGACTATTTTGTAAAGGCAACTACATTTACATAAAAGAATGGCTTGGCTTTTTTCATCTTTTTTCCTTTAATCAGGACTCCAGAGATATGGAGTCAGATACAGACTTTAATTTCTCTTCATTATGTTGTTACCTGAGACACAGAGAAGGTAGAATCTATGTTAGCAAAAATTTATTGTTATTTTATTAATATAGAATTTTTATAGATCAAGTAATGCTAATCATAATGTGTAACCAGTAAGTTAAACCAAAGATTTTACCAGGAGAGAAAAGAATTATCTTATGGGTCAAAAGTCCAAATTCAGTGTAAAACAGGAATGTACTAAAAATTGTCTGTCAGTGGATTTTCTCCTGCACACCACACTCCTACAAAGTTTGCATCATTCAAAAACTGTTTCTGTGGCTTTCATTTATAGTAATTGATGTGCTTGTTTAATTTAATCATATATTATCATTGTGCAATTATTCTTGATTGAATATTTCCCAGATCATAAGCAGCTCTGTGCAATCAGTTCTTCAAAACTGTTTTTGCAAACGGAACTTAGTCTGTAAGTATTTTCAAAGTATTCTCTGTCCACTGAAAAGAATAAGTTACCTTTCAGACAGTGAATGAGAGGTTTCCAGAAGAACATCAAAGTTACTTCTCTTTATGAATGTTGGTCTTTAGTATTTGCTCAAGTTGAGAATTTAAAAGTTGAGACCAAATCCTGGATCATATATACCTGAATTGGAACTTGATAGCTTTTCCCTGTTCTGTTTGCAGATGAAGCCAGTGCTTTTTCCCCAGTTCATTGAACACTAATACTTTTTTTCTGATAAATGAAAGTAGAAAAGGATTTACACATTCTGAGCTAATCTAAAACTTTAAATAGTAAATCTTCTTTCAGCCTTCAAAAGCTGAATAGAGATTCACATGTTCTTAGATTTTGCTCCGACCCCTTCAACCGTTCCCTCATATTAAACAGCAATCAGATAAGAAAGAATAAGCAATTAAAAAAGCTGTATATAGCTTCAATTTTAGAATGCTCCACTTTTAAACAGAATTTTAAGTAGTATTGTATCTTTCATAAACAACAGTGCTATATGCAGTAGACACTAAATTTCTCTCCCCTGTAGATCTGCAAACAATTACTTAGAATTTTTTCCTCTTCTAAATGTCAAAATTGGCAGTGTACCAGGAATGGAACTTACCCAAAGCAAAGAAATGGGAATTGTTGCCGCAACTCCATTTTTATTTCCATCTTATAACAAATGTATTTGCAAGCACACAGAAGCAGGTTTCTGCCTCTTGGGGTGAAATTTAAGTAGTGTACAAATTCAATTCTCTAGTAAGGATTATCTGCCATACCCTTTATGTGAACAGCTGTACACTTATATAAGTCCTACTTTGTTTCAAAGCTAATATCAGAGTATGAAAATCTAAATAGATCAAAAGTTGATTACATTTATTGTAATTACCTTCCAAATGTCCTCTTGGCTGAAAACTCTGGAACCATCGTATGTTGCATTTATAATACAGTTAGCTGAACAGGTCAGTGTTTTTGCTGTGCTGTTATCTAAGCCCACAAATGTACAAATGTGACAGAAATAAAGTAAGGCTGTATTGCAAGAGCATGACAATGAGAAATATTGAAATTTATGCTAATACATATGTTTGGGGTTTTTTAATTAGAGAAAAGTGTAGATTATTCTCAAGGTCAAGTGAAATCAAACCAGTCATACTAACTTCCATGTAAATAGATGTGTCATAAATAGACTTACGTAATGCATCTACCTCTACGAGGTATCTACCCTCATATATTATTAGAGGTTTGAAAGTTTCTTTGACATAAGAACTGTTATACTTACTGTCTAGTCAAAGAAGTTTTACCTCTGCAAAAACTAAAATTATCATTAAGTAGAGTTGGAATATTGTTTATATGAACATATTATGCAAGCACTTTTGTGAAAAGAAAAATATCCAGCTAGATTTTTCTTCTGCTTCTGCAGTGTTAAGATCATCAAATACAACACAGATTCTCAAATATTTTCTAGTATAAAGGACAAGCATTTCATCATACTATCAAAATATATTCAATGGTACATAGTAATCACCGCATGAAAACCTCAGCAACTGCAGTGGGCAAACTCATCACATCTGTATAAGCATGTGATAATTGATTTATTACTGTGAGGTTGGTTTATTGCTTTGCACTTTCTGTCCTGTAATAAATTTTCTAAACCAAAGATGATTTCCAAATCTGCGAAAGCAGAAAGTTTAATTTGATGTGAGATTTGATATGACAGCCATTTGAGAGATCATCAAGGATATTTCCTCAATGCTAAGGGAACATACACTTGTCAGCAATGCAATGTGTAAGATTCTTCCCATGGATAATTATTTTGAAAGAGAATGAGACCACTGAATTTTTTCCTCGGTTATTGAGCGCTGGAAGACTTTAGAATAAAATATGATCCTTTTCATTATTCTGAAGTAGCAGAAATTTTGTCAGTTTCATTAAACACAAACATTGGTACTGTTATATAAAATAGAAGTTTGGAATTACTTGAAAAATAATGCACAATGTTCAAAAGAGAAGGCAAGATCTTAATCCCTGCAGTACAGGTAGCTCTGATCTATAGACAGGTGATGAACTGCAGATAGTATACTCTCTACTCTCCTTGCCACCCAGAAAGTGTCTGTGTCTCAGATGTATGACAGTTCTGTATTCTATCAGCAGTTTCTCCCAGAAATTCAGCTGCATAGACTAATATTCCTGAAGCTGACCATTTGAATGCAAGTAGATCAAAGAAGCAGAACGAAAATATTGAGGAGAAAAGATGTGATGTCCTTTTGCAGAATAGAGATAGAGATTAAGGAAGGGATCATTAACTGTAACAGCTGTGTCTCTGGAAGTAATAATGAAAACAGTAATAGCATCCTTGACGTAATTTATATGAGAGATTCATCTTTCTTTTTTTTCTCCTCACCAGAATTTAGCAATAAATCACTAATATTAATGTGTTTTCTGGACATAAGAAAGTCTACCATTGGCTAGAAAATAATTAGAATGAACCAACACTCAGGAATGTCTCAGCATTTCATGTTCATTAGAATTGTGAGGACCAAGCCTGTATATGCAGGCTCTCCAACAAGTTGGTGTTAGTCATTCTGCTATTCTGAAACTGACTTTATAGAAATACTTGGAGACTAAATCTCATCAGGCTTGTCTAAATGAAGACACGGAGGAATACTATCCAACTAGAAGTCGTATATGTTAAAAGAGCATGGAAAAAGAGTGCTAAATGCTGAAGTGGTCACTTATTAAGAACTAAGGTGACCTTGAATTAATTTAGTTTAACCTATTGTGAAATTGAATTGATGAATTTTTTACTGAGGGTGATTTAATTCTGAATCAGCACCCACACGACACTTTTATATGGCCTAATTAATCTATTTTTAAAGTTAACTTGAATTGTTCCTACACAGAAAAGCCATCTAAGGGGGAAATTTCGGACAGATTGTGGCATCTAGGTAAAATGAAAGCTGTATGCCCTGTCTTGAAGCAGATTAAATGTCACTGGAAAACTTCTAATAGATTGCAATAAGTTTTGAAACTCAAAATCTGTAAATACACACCAAAAATGATAACAAAAATCAGGTTTTATGTTAATAATAAGTTTATAGCCTCTCAGCATAGTAACACTTTAATTTAAATTATGAATTACAGAGATTCTATTTAAATCAAAGTGTTAAGTCTTATGTTTTGAAACAAAGAACTTCGCAGTGAGAATCAAGAAGCACTTTGGGTTCCTGTTGTTTCTTCTGCAGGGGGATATCTATCCCTAGCTCTAAACTAATCTTTTTTACCTTTAGCTACATTTGGTAATTCCATTGTCTTACCTTGAATTTGTTTATGGTCTAGATTTGTTTACAATTACAAATGCATATATATATATATAAGTCTCTGAATGATTTAGCCACAAATAAAATACCAATGTATATTATCTTAATGAACATTGTTAAGTTCATTTTGCCCTTTAGTTTGACTGGTATATCTTCTTAAATCATATTGCAAAAAAAAAGGAAAAAAAGTACATATTACATATTTCCATGACATACCTTGTGAAAGTCAAGTTGTAAACAAAATGTAATTCTTCAGCAGTTTTCTGAGTCAGAGATTATTTATCTTTGTTTCAGATAAATGGCTATTACTTCAAATCCCTCTTCAACTTTAGGAAAGTAATTGCTGTCTTACTTTTTAACA